AACGGCAGCAGCAGCAGTGCTTTTATTAGTGGTTGGGAAACGCAGCCCAGAGGGACGGACAAATGGCAAAAGGCCAGAAGAAGCGTGTTTCCTCAGTGGTTCCCTCCGCAGCAGCCCTGGGGTCACACAGAGGTCCCCTCCCCAGGAGGCTTGGAGAGCGGGTCCTTCTTCTTCTCTTCGGGCTTCATGGCTGGAAAGAGCAGCACCTCCTGCAAGAGAAGAGGGCAGTGGGCAAACTACAAGCCCGGGTTCCTCGAGCAACAAGGACAACCATGGATGCTTCCTACTTAAAGCTGTGCCCCCCTCCCCTGTGAACAAGATGGACGCCTAGCAACAAGCCTTGGAGCCTTTGATGGCTTTATGGCCAAACAACCGTTCTTCGGGGTCACTGAAGAGGAGTTACTTTGACACCTCCATGGGCTTGGCAGCTTTAGTCTCATAGCAAGGGAAGGGAGGAAGTCACTGTTTGCTTCTGCAGTCTCTTTTCCTCCCTGGAAGCCCACCATCTGCCAGTTGCACCCCAACACATCTCTCCAGAGACATGACTGCTGTTGGAGGTGCTTGTTTGGGCAGAGTGTACGGAGGGCCCCGAATTCCCCCACTGGATGTCAGGGGAGGCCAGGAAACACTGTCTTTGCCTGGGACTGTCTACTGCATCCCTTACCACCGAGACTTAGAGCAGTAGCACCACAAGAACTCTTTAGGAGACCAGGGAATACCTTCACTTCTAGCCCAGAGGAAGGCATTAACAAGCTCACAGTATGTGTGGCTCCAAATTCTGTGTTTCCCACCAGGGCCTGCTGGAGACAAGTGCTTGACCACTTACTTACCTTGATGTTGTTGGAGTCCGTTAGGAACATCGTGAGGCGGTCGATGCCCATGCCCCAGCCAGCAGTCGGAGGGAGCCCGTATTCCAGAGCCGTACAGAAGTTCTCATCAATAAACATGGCCTCATCATCGCCATCAGCTTTTGCCTGGAGAAACCAACCAACAGGTCACCTGCCAAGCTGGAGCCTGCAGCACTGCTCCTCTGGCCTGACAGTGGTTGCACAACCCTTGCCAGCTGTGAGACCAGAGGCCCCATCACACACACCCCTCTTGGACTCCTTGCCAGGCTCAGTCATCCACCAGGCTTTGTGCTGCGCAATTCAGTTAAGAGAGAAGGCAGCCACTGGAGGCCCAAACAGAGCCACACAGGATCAGGGCAGTTCTGGGACTCCAGTGGCTTCTTCCATGGAAGGGAGGCCACTCATGTTGCTACTAACAGTTTACTAAAGGCTTTTTGCGAAGTGATAGCAAGGATCAGATCCATTTTCTTTCAGCAGTAAAGCAGCTGCTACGACAGTTGGTGTGTTATGTGCTCACTGTATAAACAAAGCACTGAGTTTGTAGATGTTGAGCTTTGCATTTACTTAGATTAGCCTGGCTCTGTTTAGAGCTGCTAGCTTATCTGAGCTGGAAGCAGCAGGTGCTGTGGCGTTTGGAAGCTGGAAACTGAAGCGTAAGTCAGTGCCAAGAAAGACTGCTGATCTAAACTACAAATTAAGGGCATCTTATTTTCAATGAAAACAGAAACCGAACTGTATACTACTTTTGCTTTCTGTTGTCAAAGAAAGAAGACTCACTGAAGAAAGTGTTTGTTATTATACTGTAGTGAGATCAACTATTCTGATTTGCTTTGTATCATTGTTGAACCAAAGTGAATGAACTATTTTCTTTTCTACTTAAAACCACAACTGACTCATGTGTATATCTGAGTTCAGGGTCACACTATGTTAAAAGAATCTGAAATATTTTAACAGGATATGTGCTTGCTTCTGCGATCTGCTATCACCAGCACGACAATGCAAACCCCAGAGCCCTCAGCTCAGCAGCCTCCCAGTAGCTTGGACAATGGGCTTCAGGACATTCCCAACCTGGGAGCCTCATGAAGGGAGGAAGAATGGCTATATCTCTTGTTTCAGAGTCAGGATGAGGAGAATTGAGCAAAATGCAGCCCAAGGGACTCCTCACACAGATCAGTCCAGCCCCAGTCCCCCATGCCCC